TAAATACCTACCCTGCCCCTCATGGGGACTATGGAGAATCTCATGATAAGAATCTCAGTCATGTCTGAAGATATAGGCATTTGCAACAGAACATTTATTTTGATGAAACACAGAAAAAAAATGCCCTGGAAGAGGACCGTCCCAGTGTGTCAAGGAAACTGCAATAAAGTGCATCATTGACAGCATGTTTAGTGGTGATTGGTCCTGATGTGTCCCAAGTTTGCTATCCTGGTGGTAAACACATGCACTTGGGAGTGAGTAAGTTATAGTAAGATTAGAGAATTTTGGACCTTGGGAGCTACACACAGATAATGGGCTAATTGAGCACAATTTAGAGAGGTGTAACTTGCTTCTCGTCATTTCCTCCGAAGAATAGGAAGCATCAGAACTCTGGCTGAGAAGGATGGGAAGCAGCCATTAGAGAATGAGCTACTGGGGTGAATATATGACGGATAGTGCCCTAGAAAGATGACGATGTCTTTTAGCAGCGGAGGGAACTGCATCACAAAGGCAGTAGTGCCAAAGTCCCATAATCAAACTGAGGCCAAAGACACCTCCAAGCATACAAAGTGGAGAGAATTTCCCAAGTGAGTATCTGAAATACAGCCTACTCAGAGGTGGTCGTTAATGGAACTAGCAAAATTCTGCTCTAAAGTTTATGTGACCTCATTTGCCAACTGCTTAACCTTGTAATTCTTACACCTTTACCATGCTATTAACGAGGAAAGGTCAGAAAAGATAAGGACTGTGGATAGATACAGTGAGTTACACTTATGTATGCACTATTCATATTATTCAGAATAACCTAGATCATTTGCAAACACAGAACCAACACTGGACAGTGAGAATGAGTGCTATCAGGGAAAATAAAGACAACTTTCTGAGTAATTCTAGTAAGTTTAAAGGGCATTTGAAAATATTTAAAATGGCTGAAGATGAAGGAAATTAATAATAACAAGGACTGGGGACCCATGTGGCTTACAGCCAAGGTTCTGAAAGCTTTTTATTTAGATGCCATCATTCAGTCATGCCATGGACAGTTACTTTGTATCTGTGATGTGTCAGGCACAGCGTTGTGTGCACTGGCCATGCAGCCACAAACAAATCTCACAATAATCTCTCCTTCCATGAAGTTTATATCTTACCATGCTTGAGAACATCTTGGAGGGATATTATGAATGAATCTTTAATAAAATAAACTGCAGCATTGTGAAACCCAATAAAATATATTAAATATGTATCAAAACTACAGTTGGGTATAAATTTTTAAAGATCTCTTACCCACAACTGTCTGTATTTTTCCAGTTACGGAAAATAGAAATTCATTTTGCATTTTGGAAGTTACTGTAGGAATGACAGAATCAAAGTAAGGCTTTGTGTTTCACTGCTCTTGAACCCCACAACTCCTACAACTGGCTCTCATTTAAAACTAGGTACATGGCTTAGGCTTCAGGCTTAAGCAGATCGCTACCTCCTCCCAACCGGTATTTAAATTGTAGGAATCCTATTCTCAAGGACAGAAGGGGCCTGAGAGGAAATCCATCCCAAAGGTAAAAGTAGATTGATGTGAATACTCAGAACCATTGGCATATTTAGTGCTGACTCTTTTTTTACTACTGGACATTCTGAGACATACAGAAAAAGGGAGTGATAGAAATCATATTTTTTCATAATTTGAACCTTGATTCAAGTTAGATCATAATTTGAACCTTGTCCAAATTAGCTTCTCAATTAAGCTGAAAAGAAATAAGAAAATGTAAAACCTGACTGGTTGTGTTCTAGGCAGTAGGTAGACAATGCCATGATGGGGTGTTTCCTGTCAGGAACATTAACTGCATCTGATATGAAAACATGGCCCAGAGAATGCCCTGAGTTTTGTTTAACAAAATAAACTGCTATCTCTCCTTTGGGATTGGAGTATTTCTAAAGTGACAGGCTAAGAATCTAGAAATTAAAAGAGAGGGTAAGAGAGTCCCCAGCCCCCTAAGCTGATGTTTGACAGTGCAATAGTTGTTCCCATCCTGAGAACCAAATCATTCCGAGGGTTTTTAAACCAACAGAGAGGCCCAAAGCGCACCCTAGCACTAGTAAGTCAGTGTGTCAATGTGGGGACTACACATCTGTGTTTCTAGATAGCTCACTGGAGATTCTGCTGCTACAGTCAGGTTTGTGGATCAGTACTCTAGAGAGTTTGTAGGGAAAAAAAAAATTAGTCTGTCCTTTCAGAGCTTCTTGTCAGCTTGAACCACAGGAGAGTCAGGGTAAGGTAAGGATGAGAACTGAGGGAGTTCATCCCCTGTCCCGGTAGCCCTTGGAGACTAGGAAAAGGAAAGGCATGTCAGCAGATACTGAATGCTTAAGTACCTGCATGGCCCAGGTCCTGGGCAACAGTTGCTGATGCCAACACTCATTGGTTTTAACACTGATCTGTGTTTTGAGGGTATTAAGAACCAAATTACATGAAACACAGAGACTAGGAAAGAAATCTTCAGTTTTTACTAGCAGAACTCTACCCAGTGATAAGATTTAGTATCCTTAGAGCTAATCAGGTTTCTAAGAACAAGTGTCTCCATATGCTGAATTCACTCCCTTAGCTCTTATTCATGTTTATTATTAAAATATTTTATTAATGCACATCTCCATAAGTACTAATTTTAAATCAAATCTACTCTTCATAGTGTGGTTTTATTAATATAAAACTATAATCATGTAATTACGCTCTAAGTCCTTTATTTTATAAATCACTTTAACCAAAGCAACATTATAGTTCAAGTTAATCATGTGATAGTGTATAAAATGTACTTTGTTTTAACAGAAAGAGAACCAAATTGTTTGTTAGGGAATCAGAGACCTGCCCTGATTTTTTCCCCTCCTAGGACTTATAAACGTAGGAGAGCCATTTCACCCCTCCACATCATCGTTTTCTCATCTGTAGAATAGAGATTGTATATACACTGACTTGCCTCTTAGGACTGTGTGAAAAATATAAATTCATTATAAAGTAATTTAAAGCACAAGGTAATCATAAGCTACCTGGTTATTATCATTTAAAATAGGCTCAAATGTGGGATGAGGTTGAAACAAGTTTGGGACTCATAACTTGGTGAAGGAATGAGCAAACGGATACAATCATGAAAAAGATACTAAGGACTTGTGTCCTTCTGATGAGTGTACTAACAGAATTGTTGGCAACACCCTCTTCCATGACATGGAGGATCTTTGTGTTCCTACTGTATCTGTGTAAGTGTCTAGTCTGCAATTGGAGCAAATGAGTCTGCCAAGGTTACGATTTTCTCTATTGTGTCTGGCTTTGATGGGAACAGAGCAGTATTTCTTGTTCAGATATGGTGAAGTCTCTCTGTGTCTCTTTCTCTCAGTCTCCAGTTCTCTGGCTTCCCATTTGAAGGCAAAGGAAGCAAACATCACCTCTTGTCTTTCATCCTGCAGGTACAGCATTTTCTTTCAGTTGTGATGTGGATTCCCTAATAAGAGCAAAATCCCAAACCATACGCTGTTTTTATAAAGCTAGTGATCAGAAATTAGTAGATTTCACATATGTTAAAACACAGTATCTTAATATACTTTTTCAATTAACTAATTGCACTTTTTAAAGAAGTTGTTAATAATTCAAATTGGTATTTATTGCCCTTGAGAAGATAGTAAATTGTGCTTTCAAATCTTGTAACCTTGTCTTATCCTCATGTATATCCTTTTCTTGTTTATGCAAAATTATCTTCCCATTTAGCCTTGAACATTTCTAAATCATTTGGATCTTAGCTCTCTCTCTTCACTTTCCTTTTTTTTTTTTTAACTTCATCTGTTGGTTTGGGTATTACAGGTTTTATTTTTAGTAATTAAAATTTCAACATACATATTTAAACTATATGTATTTCTGGCATAATCCAAAGTTTTTCACCAAGGGATCTTATGCTGAACTAACCTTAAAATACTTCCATTGCCATCTTGCAAATCATTGTTTTCTGAAAATTTAGTTTTAGCATGTTAAAAAACACCTACAAAATAAGCCACATATTATAGGTAATAATAAGCATTTCTAAGATATTTTGCTGATTAATGTGTTCTCCATTGCTTCTTACATTTTACTTTTTCAGTGGATTTAATTTTAAGGCTGGATGTATTCTTGAGTAGTCCTTTCAAAGCTCAATGATCTATACCACACATTCACATCTATACTTAACACTGGTGATGCCAACTTCTTCCTCAGTCCCATCAGCAATTCTCACTGACTCCATGTAGGAGTCTTCTCTTCAGTATGCTCACTTATTTCCCTGTCCACTGTCACCTTCCTCTCCTGTCAACCAGGGCCTAATGGAGAACTTCCGAAATGACTTACCTACTTCTTGCTCTCAGAAAATCCACTGTCCACTTAATGGCCTGTATACATTTTAAATATATATAAATTGCATCCTCTTGTACCCTTGTTAAAATGTATAATTTATTATGATCACTCTTGAGTTAAATACAAAATCCTTAACATGGCCAATAAGGTCCTGTTAACTCCTTCCCCGAGGTTTTTCAACATGCTTTTTCCCTATCTGGGATGTTTTTCCCTCCAATCTTGGCCTGACTAACTGCTACACTTTAGGGCTCACGTTGAATGACTAAATGGCTTTTTTCCATTCAGTGATTTACTCATCATTTCAGAAATATTTCCTAACTTTCTACTATGTTCAAGGCCTTGTCCTAGGCACTGGGATAAAGTAGTGGTCAAACTAGAAGAGGGAGGAGAGAAAAGAATGCATGGATGTATTTCTTTATTAATATACATTAGTGCTGTGAAGTAATTTCTAAGAGAAGCCTTGCCTTATACTAATCTAAGTTGGATTTTCCCCATTATCCTTCACAACAACCTGATTCACTTTTATATTTATTTTTGTAGCATCCATAAGAATAGATAATAGTCCATTTTTAGTGTCATTTTTGCTCACTGAACATCTTTTGACTAAACTACAAACCCCATGTTAGGGAATATGCTCCTTTTAGTTCTAATTTATCTTTGGCCTTAAAACCGAGTGTGGCGTATAATTGATGATCAATAGATATTTGTTGAAAACTGACTAATGTTGGTTTTTAAAATATTTACCTTTATTGATTTTCCCTGAACTGCTCATAGGAGATATTCTGGCTTATAGACAGATTTTTCCGTCAACTCACAGTAAATGGTAAATACATTGATTCTTTTTCCCCTATCTTCAGGTGACATGAAGAGAGCTGATAGGATTTTTTCCTACATAAGCAGCACAACCATCCACAGGTGAGAGTGTGGAAGTAAGACAGTTTTTCTCTGCTTATAAAGGAGAAGGATGCAGCTCTCTCCCTCCCTTCCTGAGAAGGTTTTTGAAAAGGCCTCCAATCCTTTGGTATACAAATAAAAATCTCTCTAAGAACCAGATTGCCCCCACTATCTGGGGATTTTTTCCTACTGAAATGTCAGTACGTACCTGGGGAGAGAATGTTCCAGCCGCCAGGGCAGCCTGCAGCTGAACCTAGGGACCCAGTCCAGGCCCACTCTTGGCTCTCTTGGGGAAATAGAGAAGTTTTATTATCCTATTAGATGAAAACAATTTACAAGATAAACAGTGATAGCTGTAGTTTTCATGGTGTGTGAAGAGTAAAATGTTTCCATGTCTCAGGAGGCAAAGGGATGTTATGGAAACATTGAGAAATCCAGGGACATTTTATTTTTGCAAAACTAACTAAATAAAGGAATGAAAGTAGAACAGTCTTTCATGGGGTGACCTTCCAGATGTGGACTTACTTCCACAATCTTAATTATGTTTTTGTCTCCAAAATCTGTCACACTCCTACAAGTCTTAGTAGGATTTACCAAGCATGCAAAGCCCTGACAGCATCATACCTAAGCCGTTTCTCAGGGCTGTGTTTACAGCAAGCAGCCCTGAGGGATGAGGTCATATCTTAGGGACAAAGGGCAGGCTTGCTTACCACTTGTGGTTGCCTTAAGTTGGTAAATTCTCCAAGCTCAGTGTTTTTCTCCTGTAATGCAACTCATTGCACATGCAGCATCTATTTGGGCCCCCTCGCACTGGCTCCAGTGGATGAGCGGAAAAAGAAGAACCAGTGCAAATATGGTGCTCATGCTGCTGTGAGTGATAAAGTCCTTTACCTCTGACCCAGGAGTCTCATGCCTTCTCCTGCATCCGTGAAGCGGCACCAACAGACTAACTTATCAGCTCATGAGATAAACTGAAACCCCAGGGCCTGCAATTTTCTTCAGGATCCAGCTGAGATGTAAAAGGAGGTTGAGTTGAGTGTTTGACAACACCTCAGATTTTCACTATAGTTTCTGGATCTGCAACAAGAATAACACTATTCTTTCTCTTGTTGGTCTCACCCAAAGATGCGTTAACCCCAGATTAAGTTAGCCCCAGAGGGCATCAGGTCCAGCTGATGCCACATACTATGTAATATCCAACTTTAGGAGATACTTTCATTCACTGTTCACGCCTGCAGTAACTGTTAACCCAATTCTATTGATCATTCAGGAATATTCCACAGGAGCAGAAGGGTCACTGGAGTGGGCATGTAGCATTTCTAGCAGAGACATATTATAAAGCTGTATTAAAATTCTCAAAATTTCCCTAATATGCCATGCTCTTTTACTCCCCTGGGATTTTGCATATTTATTTCTTTTTACCTCAATCTATTGTTTTATGTCCATCATTTACAACCAGTTTGAGTACTAAAGTTCTATGATGCCTCTTCTGGCTTGCCCTTACAAAGGCCAAATTGCTTCCTTCCCCTTGGCTTGCCCATATGGCTAGTCTCTGTCTCAATTATGTACTGGGTAAGCCTGAAATGTTCACCTCATTACTGAGAAAGAGGAGAGGTTACCAAATTACCAAAGCAAACACTTAGAAAATTTTGAATACTCTATGTGCATTGGAATATTATCTACTACATTTACAATGTTACATGTTGAAATAGCAGTTATATTTAAATGTCAGAACCTATGCACTTGATTTCTATTCCCCTCCCCTTCTTTTATAGGCCAATTTGTCTACTAAATTGGATCACTATCCATTATGTCATAGAGTTAGTTGACACAGCCTCTCCCAACGTTAGAAAGGTATAGAAAAGTTAAATGAGTTTGGAATATAACCCAATTTACAACTACCTTATTCTAAATTATTCTTAAAGCAAATTCTAATCTATGTTTATATTAAAACATATATTAAAAAATTGGTTCTGAAACTGAACTTGCTACTAGCATCACAAAAAAGTTTTAAAAAATGAAGTGAGGACAAAAAAATTGGAGTTGGAAAAGATAAAAAATAAATTCTCAAAGAACAAATTATTTGAAACGGTTTGCTCTCAATGCTTTGTTATGGTCAGCTTCCAGCTTCTTTAACAATAAAATGAAATGAGAATGAAGAAAGTTTCATTACTGTATTTGAGAGAAAAACATGGACGTTTTATGTCTTCATTGAAAAGACAAAATAATAAATGAAACATAGCTATCACAGGTTTATTAGCCCCCCAAATTGAAGCAAGTTACATGATGTTTTTCACCTCCTTAACTCAAAAAATATCTCATTTGGTCATTTTTCATGTTGAGCATTTGAAGACTTTATGCCAGTCAACAAGTTATTTAATGTGTTAAGTAGAAGTAATCAATGTGATTATGTATGAATCTCCATGAATATAAATTAAATTCTCTGATGTTACAGTATTAGCATTTAGTTTTTAAAAATAATAGAGTAGACTTAAAATAATTGCAAAGAAGGTATGTGGCCACTGAGTAAGTGAGTGTTCAGTTTTTAAGAAGTAAATGTTCCAGTGTGAAAAAGTAAAGAACACTTTCTTCTAACGTGTAACAATTATGCTGGTAGCAGTCAGCAACCTGATTCAGCCTTCCATTTAGATGATAAGTATTAAGCTATTTGGTGGCAAAACTCACATAAAAGAGCTAAATTTTAGTGATATGTTTGAAGGTGCTTTACAGCATTTTAAGTAATTAGATAAATTAAAATGGACCACGCGTGGACCAAGGTACGGGTGTGCCATTATAAATAATTATTACAATATATTACATGTGAAGTATAAGCGTCAAGGGGACAGAAGCAAATCACTTATTCGTTATCATGGAGGAAAGTAACTCTCCTTACTGTATGTATATATATTTAAATTTATGTATTTTAGATAGCTTATTCATTTAAGTACCTAAGTATTTGAGCATTTATAATGACAGTATCTCAAAATGCAGTACGTACTTCCAAATGGAAGGAAATATCTATAATAGAATGTTCTTTTGACAAAGGATTTAGATTAGGATAGTCAAAAATTTCAGTCTCTACAAACTAGCCATTGTTATTAGCCTATTAGTTTCTATCAACTTTCCTAATTTTAATTACCTCTACCTAGTATGCTGTAGACTGAGAAAGCAGAAAATCCAAGGTTCTGTATTAAACTTTACTAAAAACAATTAATCAGGCAATTTGACGATATTATGTAATTTGATATGTCTATCTATAAACATACAGATGTAAATGTAATAATTAGGGTTATAGTCTTAAAACTTTTACAAATAAGTGCTCATGGGGAAGAAAACAGTCTAAAGACACTAGCACCACACAATGAAGAAATCATTCCTAAGGTTGTCATAAACACTCCAGTCTTCTGTCCTCAACACATTAAGAGGGGGCTTCAACTCCTCTTAAGCCTTCCTCCCATCACCTCTACCTTCTATCCCCATGCCCTGTCAAAGAACTACTCTATATTTTCTGAGTATTCCAAGTATTTCAATGAGTTGTGGGTGGTAAATAATTTCCTTCTCTTTGTTTCCACTACAAAGTCTGCACAGTGCCTCTTCTGTAGACTCTCTAGGATAATTTCTAAATCCTCTTGTCTCCTTGAGATTCTGACTTTGGTTCATTCCTTACAGACTCCTTGACCCTCTGTCTTCTATGCATATTAATACAATACAAAATGCAATAATACACGTTGTTAGACTGGATCACTGAGATAATAATAGGGACACTAGTTCAGTCACATAATTTTATCTTAATTAGCAGGTTATGCTCACTTTGTGCGTATAATTATGTCCTGATGGCTGGCTGAAATTTCAGAATTAATGTTTCATAATTAGTAAGAGTGTGTAGGAGTTGAAGAAATCATGATTTAAAAAACACTTAAAAGAGATAATCCAAAGGTCTAAGTAAAGATATTGACTAATTTCCATGTGTTTACTTTTAAGGGAATGGTTTCCCCCCTCCTCCTGGTGTCCCCTAGGAGAGATTGCTCCTATACTCCTTCATGGCCTCCCTTCCCCTTTCCTCAGTCTTTTCCTAAAGAGAAGCAGTCATTGACCTGATTTGTAAATTTGAGAACAAACTAAGAATGGTATGAATAGAACCAGGTCTACCTTCCACTTGGAGAAAGCACGAGTTTTATTCCTGCAGTGGTGGCTCTTCCCAGGGCGTGCCTGCTTGATTCAGTGCCGAGTGTGGGCCACTTGGTTATATGCTCTACCTTGGCCTCTACCAAAAATAAAGGTAATACTTCAGTCTCCAATCCAGAGAGACTATTCTTTATTTGCTTATTTCTGCTCTACTGCGTATTGAAAACTTCTTCCAAGATGCTAACCTTTACTAATCAGTTTTTTTCTTAGATTTCCACAGAGACCATAAAAGTGATACAATAATCTGTTTTTAAAATGCTCTTCTGTTTTAAAATTTGAAGTTTAAGAAGCATAAAATTTCAGAAATTACCCCAACTCGTTTTTCATTGTAATATTTCATAATCTGGATTTCTAAGACTCAGCCAAAGGATACACACGTTTCTGATGACAACTGCTGTTATTTTTCTTCTTCCTGATCATCTTCCTAAGTGTTGCTTAAACTCCTTTAATTGTAAGTACCATCTAGCGTACACATTCTGGGTCCCCATACTGATTTTCAGAATCAGAATATCTGGAAAGGACGTCTTTGAGTTATTACATTGATGGATATGCCAAGTGATTCTTACCTTTTGTCTGGAGTGCACAGCCCTGATCCACATGGTTGCCTTGCTAACTGAAGGCAGAGTAGTCTGAAAGTAGGCAAAGATCACTGCTGCTTGAAATACAGTTGGAACACCATGGAACAACAAAATTAGGTAGATTAGTGAGGTAAGATTATGGATCTTTCCAGCACAGCCTTTTAGAGTAGACGTTATTGACCACCTAGAGATCATCTTTTGTTAACTACGTAACAGCATGAAAAGACCAGAGCAGGAAAACAGATAAATTAATATAGATGCTTATAATTTCAATCAATAAACTGCACACATTTGTATCCTCAGCGTCTGGTTTTTCTGGTGTCCCACCACTGAAGTGTATAGATAGTCACCAAGAAGACATTCTTTCAGTGTCTGAAAACAAAGCATAGTGCTTTACACTAGTCACAGAGTGAGCTTACATGAGTGTTTTACACACATGAAAGTGGAATGGAGTATAGAGGAACCACTCACAAGTATTTCTGGATTCCTCTTGAATCTTTCAGGATTTCTGGACTAAAATACCTTGAATATTTTCATAGCATAGCATCTGTGAAACACACAAGCACACACATACACACACACACTTCAGAATCCTATTTAATGACGTTTAATTTCAAATAAACTGCTCACCATTCATAGTAACCCAAATACCTATTTTTATGGCTAAATTAGAAAATGTTTTTAAAGCCATACATATGGAAATTAAGATATCCACATCTAATGCTCTCTTTCTCCCTTACCTTTCCCTCTCTTCCCCTCTCCCTCTGCCTTCTCCATTACCCTCCTCCTCTTTCTCTCCATCTCCCTCTCATTTTGAAAAATCTTAGGATTCTCCTATCTTTTCATAATTGCTAAAATTTTCTTGCTTTCAGTCCCCTTCATTTCATTCCAATTAATGCTTGTCTTCTTTTAGCTCTTCCAAGTATTATTTTCAGCTAATCACTGCAATTTTAAAAATGTGCTGAGTTTAACTGGACAACAACTAACACTATTCTCCCTTTTAGATTCAGCTCATTCTCTTTCTTCATGAAGCTTTCATAAATCATGCCATAATAATTCCCCTTATATTTAACTAAGAGCACATACTATATTACATACCTATTGCTGCATAACAAGTTACTCTAAATCTTACGGCTTAAACAACACACATTTAGTTTCATGTTTTCTATGGGTCAGGAATCCAAGCATGGCTCACCTGGTTCCTTAGCTTCAGGGTCTCTTGCAAGCCTGCAATCAACATCTCAGCCCAGGATCACACTCAGCTCAAGATTTGGTTGGGGAAAATTCTTCTTCCAAGAGAACCCAGGCAGGATTCCATCTCTTGTGGGTTGATGGACTGAGAGGCCTCAGTTCCTTGCAAGTTGTTGGCTGTAAGCTGCCATAAATTCTTTGCCACATGGACTGTTTCAGAATGACAGCCCTCTTGATCAAAATGGGGAAACTCAGAGAGAGGGAGAAAGAGCGAGCGAGCCAACACAAGAGAGAATACTAGTAAACAAAAGAAGTCATGATTTTTAACTTAATCATCAAACACAGGTAAATCAGTTTTTCTGTGTTCTATTCATTAGAAGTAAATTACTATGTCCACCCATACTCAAGGGGAGAGAGCTGCATCAGAGTGTGAATACCAGAAGGCAGGAATTACTAAAACTGTCTTCCACTCACCCAGCACCCATTCACTTAACAGCCTGAGGATTTCTTTACCTGCTCTATCATCATATTGCCCTTATTTAAGATTATTTCCTTATTTTAATTTTCGCTTTGCCAACAGGAGGCAAATTCCTTGATCCTTACTTTCCTTGTTCTTTTATGATACATTGCAATTGCTGTATTTTACCTTATTCAAGTCAGTTAATTCAACTCTCTTCTGTCTCCCTAGAGATGGAGAAGGAACTTAAATAAGACTTTAAGTTGCACTACTCACTCACTTTGTGCTTTGTGTTCCACAGAACATAAAATCATTTTCTCCGTCAACTGTAGAAAATGTGCACACAAGTGACCCAGAGCACACTACTGTGTACTTCAAAACATACAGAATGGTAGTGTTTGTTTTTGCTAATTGTTTATATTGAAAGAAAGTGGGGTTTTCATCACAGCTAGAGCTAAAACTATTATCCTTTCAACTATATTGCATTTTACTGAACACAATTTCTAGTGTTATGATTCTGGATTACACAATACAATCAGTCTTCAACCAAGCTTTATATAATGACTTTCTACACATCTACAGACTGTCAAAATCCATATTGTATATCATATCTTACAGAAGTGGTTTGCCAAGTCTGTACTCTTATTTATTCTTATTAAGATTCCCTACGAGACTCTTATTTTAGTCATCTTCTTAACTAAGGACTATAAATGAGGGATGCCTTGATCTGATTGAAGCCAGAAAATCAAAGTGACATTGTAATCTTATTTAGAAATCAGCATATCTTTCCTTCTATTATGCCAATATAAAACATACAGAAGTATTTTTCCTGCCTTTTCCAGAGAGTAACAGTTTTTGTTCATATCAGGAAAGTATATGATACATTTTTTTCATATCCTGCTAACACTCAGCAATAATGCACTTGACAATCTAGTGGCTTTACAAATGTAATTATAGATTTAATTTGCATTTCCCTGACTAATGGAGAAATTGAACATCTTCTCAAGTGTACTTTGACTCTTCTGATATTGTCTTTTTATATAATTTTCCCTTTTTTCATTGTTTCTTATTAATTCATAGGATTTCATAGACACTGTAGTTATTTTGTCAGTCTCAGTTTTCTTATTTATTGCAGCATCTGTCATACACATTTTTGGGAGAGGGCTGGTAATATAATATGTCCATCATGCCTTCACAGGCTTAAGGGGTTTCTAGTTTACTAAAGGAGTTACATTCTAATTTTCTTATTTAAAACTTTTAGGAGTCCGACTTTCTATTCTATCAATTAGACAGCCAGTTATTCCAACATCATTTATTAAATGAATTTTTACAAGATTAAATTCAGTATGTGTTCACCTTGGATTCCCATAGAGAAATCATAGATTGTCTATTTTGTTCCTCTGGCAATGAATAAATATTTGATCTATTTGCTAGTTTCTGAGACAAACTTTTGATTAAATTGGCCATGACTTAAACATTTATATCTTTTAAGACCAGTCCTCTCATAACTATTCATTTTTATCATTTTCTGAATTTTTTATACTTCTTTTGAAATATGCACTTTAAAATCATAGATAAACACATACATTTGTTTGGTTTTAATTGCATTACTTACATGGGTTAATTTAGAGATTGCTATTTTGATGATACCAAGTCCTCCCTAGTAGGAATGTATTATATTGTTCTACTTGTTGAAGTCCTCATTTTCATTAGTAAAATTACATAGCTTTTACCATTTAGCACTTTTAGATCTGTCTTGCTTCTTTTACCCTTAAATATTAATAGCTTTTAGTGCTACTGTAAATGAAGTTATTTTTCTATGTCCAGTTGGCTATTTTAAGTAGACACACAAAAAAGATAAAACTATTGTTTTTGTGTATTTATCTTATTTCTATCTGACATCAATTTGTTTAATTTTAGTAACTTGCTATCTTCTAAAGGAATATTATATGATTATATAATCATAATACCTACTGAGGTGTAATTAGTTAAAAGTTTATAATGTAATAATTTCTTTCTGTTAATACTTTTATAATGACACTCATTTTATTTACATGTTATGTTGGTGAGAATTTCAAAATGCTGGTTAGTAATTATGCTAGTAACTATTCCTACCGAGCTCCTGAGATGGTCTGGCTTTTAGCATTTTGTATTCATGATATTTTTTGCTGTTCGTCTTGGGTGTATACTTCTGCATGGGATGAGAATTACATGAGGGAGTTGCCCTTCCTTTACATCAGCAGAAAATACATGGCCAGCTGGAACAAATATACTTTCCAATTTTCACTGTTCACTTTGAGCTTAAAAACTTGAGCAATATGAAGAGTTTGACTTAAACTAATGAATACATATAGAGCAACAAATATATTTAAGGGAATGTGGGAACCAAGAGAAGAAAAAGCAGATTAATATGTGAAAGAATATGTTTCCATTGATACTGAATTGTTGTAAGAACAAGATAGCAATGCTATTTACTTCAAATACTGAGTACTCAAAGAGATCCAATTAAGCAATACAAAATGTTTTATGAGAGAAAAAAAAAGTGGAGACATCCAGTTTCAGCTCCACTATATAAAGAGCTTAGAAGTCATAGTCCAATCTTTAAAACAAGAAAAAAGTTAAACTAAAAATCAGTAAACTTTTCTGGAACCATCAGAGAAATGAGGCTGCAGGGCAAATTGCCCACCACCGTGATATCTAAAAAGACAGATAAACTGAAAGTCACAGCTCAGCTGTGCTTGTCTATATCAGCCATAAACTGATAAGAACATTTAAATGGCATTTAAATGACTTTCTGGAGACTAAGAGTAGACTAGTCAATAGAAACTTTCCAAAATCATATACAGAGAGAATGGTGGGGGGAGGGGAGAAGGGAAGAACAGATCATCTGAGAACTGTGGAAATTTTTCAAAACATATATACAATTGGAATACCAGAAATACGAGAAGGAAAATAGAGAACAGAGTAAAAGAAATACTTGAAGTAATACTGACAAAGAATTTTTTAAAACTAGTCATACACACTAAACTACAGATTCAGGAAGCTCAGAAAACATTGAGCAATATAAATACAAAATAAAACAATAAAGAAGGAACAGAAATCTATACCTGTTATATCCTATTCAAGAAGCAAAACCCAAAGACAAAGAAAACATTTTGAATAATGCCATTTTGAATGACATTTCACCTACTGCTGTGAGCTGTACTGTGTCCTCCCAAAAGATACGCTGAAGTCTTGATTCCTGGTACCTATTATTGTGAGCTTATTTTGAAATAGGGTCTTTGCAGGCATAATCAGGTTAAAGTGGGGTCATCATACTGGATTAGGGTGAGGCCTAAGCCAATGAGTGATATCCTCATAAGAAGAAAACTGGGTCACAGACTCACAGAGGAAAGAACACCATGTGAAGCTCGAGGCAGAGATTGAAGCGGTGCATCTATAAACCAAAGAATTTCAAAAACTGCTGGCACTTACCAGAAGTTAGAAGAGAGGCATAGGATGGTTTCTACCTCAGAGCTTTAAGAAAGAACCAACTCTGCTCATGCCTTGTTTCCATTTGTCTAGCCCTCACAACTATGAGAAAAAATTTCCTGTTGTTTTAAGCAACCCAGAGTATGGTGATGTGTAATGGCAACCCTAGGAAACTCATACGCTTCAAGGAATAAAGACAAGAGTTACAGAAGGGTCTCTTCAGAAACCACACAAGTAAAAAGAGTATGACATAAAATATTTAAAGTGTTTTTTTTTAAATCATCAATGTAGAATCTATGTCCAGTGAAATTATCTTTCAAAAGTGATGTAGAAATAGACTTTCTCAGGCAATCAAAAATTGGGAGAATTTATCACTAGCAAACCTACTCTGTAAGAAATGTTAAAAGAAGTTCTTCAGAGAGAAGGAAAATGATATAGATCAGAAACTGATGTTTAAAAAAAATATTGTAGAAAGAAAAATGAAAGTAAAATAAATATTTGTATTCTTAATTGATCTGAAAGTTAGCTGTTTGTTTAACGTAATAATAGTAAAAACACTTACTGTTGGAGAAGTGAAATGCATTGCACCAATGTCAGAAGGAACGGGAGGAAAAAAATCAGCAAATAGTAGTGTTATTTGCAGAGGGACTTTGATTAGTCTAAGTGCATAACAAATTCCAGGGCAAGCACTAAATTTATTATTATAAGAAATGTAATTTAAATGCTAATCAAGGAGATATAATGAAAACATATAAAATGCTCAGTTTAAACCAGAGAAGGGAGGGAGGGGTAAGACCAAAGAATAAATGCAATAAATAGAAAACTAGGTAGGTAGCAATCCAAATATATCAGTAATCGTATTCAGTGTGATTCATATAAATATAGCAAATAAAAGACAAATACTGTCAGAATGGATTATAAAAAATAAGACTCAACTATATTGTCTACAAGAAATCCACTTGAAGTATAAATGTTTAGATAGAATAAAAGTAAGAAGATGGAAAAATATATACCCTGCTAACACTAATGAAATTAGTAAAAAGCTAGAATAATTAATTTCAGATAAAACAGACCTCAGAATAAGGGAAATTATCAGTTATAAAGAGAGACATTATATAATGATAATGATAAAGGATCAAATCTCTTAGAAGAAACAACAATCCTAAACATGTGTGTGTGTGTGTATATGACAACATAACAACAGATCATCAACAAACATGAGGCAAAAGCTAGTAGAACTGGGAGAAGTAAACAAATGCAATATTATAATAAGAGACTTCACTATATCTCTATCAGTAATTGATAGAATGAACATCCAGAAA